GAATATAAAAAAATAATAAAGAGAATTTAAAAGGCTAATTTTTTGTACTTATATAAAACTTTTCAGAGCTAAGGTAATATAATTAATAATAATAATAACAAAAACTCTTTTTTATAAGTGAAAAAAAAATATTTATTAATAATTAAAAATTCAAATAACAAAAGTTCAAATACTTAAAATTTAATTTCAATATAGTAATTTGTTTAGTATAATATGATATAAAGCTCAATAATTCAATAATAATTATTTGTTTGGCACAATATGATATAAAGTTCAAAATTAATAATAATGATTTTCTTGATACAATATAATATAAAGTTATTAGTAATTTGTTAGATATAATATAATATAAGATCACTTATATACAAGATTTGAAGTATATAAAGAAAATATAGAAAGCAAAAAGTATTTGAAAGAAGATTTTTGTTAAGAAAGATTTTATTTTTAGTTATAATATGTCAAGTTAAGATTTAAATAATATCTTTATTTATATATTTTTTGAAAATATAATTTTAAATAATAATAATTATCTAAAAGATAAAATAATTAATTGAAAAAATATAGTAAAGACAAAAAATAAAATAAAAGATAAAAAGTAAAATAATTTGAGAAATTTTTGTTATTATGTGAATATTTTATATTTTTTAGCTATTTTTGGAATTAATAGTTTTTATGTTACTACTGTAATAATATTTCTATAATTTTGTTAGTTACTATATATAAATATATATAATAACAATCAAAAAGAATGGAATGCTAAAATAAATTTATTAATAAAATATAATAAAAATATGAAAAATACAAGTTATTCTTTTTATATAAAAGTTTTTAATTTACTAATAAATATTTTTTATTTTTACATTAAAATAAAGATAATATTATATATTTTTTTAGATTTTTTAGATTTAATCTAATAAAGTTATTCTAATTGTATATAAAGTTAATTATTTTTTAATAAAAAAATAATATAAAAAAATAATTGACTTTATATGTAATTAAAATAGCTTTATCAAATTAAATCTAAAAAATCTAAAAAATATATGTTAAAATATGTAATATTAATATAAAAATAAAAAATATTTATTAATAAAATTTTATTATATTAAAATAAAATTTATAAGTTATATATATTTTAACATATATTTTTTAGATTTTATTTAACAAAGTTATTTTAATTAAAAAGTTATTACAAAAATTTTGTTAGAAAAAATATAAAAAATTTAAAAATATATATTAAAATATAACTTATAATATAAAATATAAAATAAAAAATATAATCCAGTACAAAAATATAAATATATTACTTAGCTATTAATAAATTTTTTTTACTTTTAAAATTTCAAATTTTTTATTAAATATAATATTTAAATTATAATTAATATATTTATATAATTTTTTTATTATATACAATAACAATCAAAAATAATATAATGATATCAAAATTTATTAATTAAATATATTAAAATATAAATTTTTCTTTTTATATAAAAGTTTTCAATTTTACTAATAAATATTTTTTTATTTTATATTAAAATAAAGATAATATTATATATTTTAACATATATTTTTTTTTAGATTTTTTAGATTTAATCTAATAAAACTGTTCTAATTGAATATAAAGTTAATTATTTTTTAATTATAAAAAAATAATTAACTTTATATGTAATTAGAACAGCTTTATCAGATTAAATTTAAAAAATCTAAAAAAAATATATGTTAAAATATGTGATATTATCTTTATTTTAATATAAAAATAAAAGATATTCATTAGTAAAATTGAAAACTTTTATATAAAGAGAAAAATTCATATTTTAATATATTTAATTAATAAATTTTGATATTATTACATTATTTCTAATTATCACTATATAAACAAAAATAGAAAATTTTATTAATTAATTATTTGAATTTAATTATTTTAATTGTTTTAAATTTTATTTAGTAAAAAAATCAAATTTTAAAACTTTAAAGCTTAATTTTTTAATAACTAGTAATTTAATTTTATTAAAATTTAAAATATATATTAATACACTTGTTTAATACAAATTTATAAAATTATATATTTATAAAAAATATTAAAAATTTATTTTTTTTAGAAAATTCAAAAAGTTTTTGTTTTATCTAAAATTTTATTGAAAAATAATAAAAGAAAATAATATAAATAATTAAATTAAAATATACTTTCAATAGTATAAAAAAATTATAAACTTTTAATTAATAAATATATTTATATTTTTGTACCAGATCATATTTATTAATAAATTAAAACTTTTATACAAAACAAAAATTTTAACTTTTATTATATTTTATTAATAAAATTCCATGTATAATTTTATAATTTTATTAGTTATTGTATATTATATTTGATAATTTTGGTATTAATATAATTATCCAATTAATATAATTAATTAACAATTAGTAATTATTGTTTAATTATTATGAGAAAAAGATAAAATTAATTCTATTACATATATAATTTCAATAATCATTTTAATAATTATTTCATTTTATAATTTAATTAACAATTTAGTGTTCATTAAAATAATATTTAAATTTAAAAAATAAATTTATATAAATAATTTAATTATAAATTATATTATTTAATTTAAATTTTTAATTGATTCAATAAATTAAATTGACTGAATTAATTCATTTTTCAAACTAGATTTCAATACTGATTGAATATAGCACTAATTCTTGTCTTGATAATGAAAAAGAAAATAATTTGTTATTCCAGCCATATCTATATCCAAGTGAATGTGTATTTTGGATATTGTTAAGCAAAAACAAACACATTTATTTTCCAGAGTTGGTAAAATTTATGTTTTTTCCTGTAATTTAATAATAATAATAAAGCAATTTGAATACGTTATATTAAAACCGATGTACCGGTTTATATGTAAAACTGAGCATTACCTGGACAAACAAAAAGCAAACGGATTATCGGGCCCCAAGTGTATTAAATCTTGTTTATGTAGATTAAGATCACAAAAAATTATTAAAGATAATTATGTATAAACAAAGCCAAAATATATGTATGATAGTGGTTGGTCGGGTAAATAAATTTGCTTTAATCCATAAATTAATTATAATTGCTAACCTATAATTATATATATAATGATATTGATATACTAAAAATGTTTTTTAGCATGGTGATTTTTTCCCGAAATAATTTTTTCGAGACTAAATGATTGTTCGATAATAATCAATGTATATTGGATAAGTAAATAGTTTTTTGATGATCTGAGCGCGCATATAATATAAAAATGATGCGCGCTCTTATTTTTTAATGTCAATTCAATTTTGAGAAAAGATAGAATATGTGTGAATATATGTGAATGTTTGTTTAAAAACCACATGTAAATATAATTGGTAGTTATATATAATAATAGAAAAGAACACAAAAAATTTGAGAAAGATTGATTATGTACAGCCGTTTTTGATAATACTAATGAAAAACAAAAAAACCAACAACAAAAAACAAATAAAATAAAAGATGAAAGGGGAAAAAGAAGGGAACAAGAAAAGAGAAAAAGTTTTTTTGTATTTAAGTTGCTTTTATGTATGTAAATGTGGAATGTTTGTCAACAACTATTTTTGTGCTTTTTGTGCAAGATTTTTTTGTTTTTGTGTATGCGAAAGACATCGCAACGACGGACGATGCTCATGCCGCGCAACAACAAAAATATGGAAATGTTTTTCTCAATTTTTTTTGCAATGGTTTTTAGCCTTTTTCTCCTATTTTTTAATCATATAAAAATATTTGAGTATTATGTAGAGTGATAATAACCTCTCAAACGTAAAAAATAGAAATATAAAGATTAGTGAAAAAAATAACACCGTTATTAAGAACATATACAGACGATGATCTAATACTACAAAAATGACCACTAGTAGCTAAATCTTTTCTAATATAAAAAACGAAAAAAAAACAAGTCGTGTAACCAATAGGCTTGTTTGTTCGTTATCATCATTGTTTGGTTCATTAAAAATAAATAAAGAACAAGAGGAAAGAAAGATATGTTATAATAAAAGTGTAATTAATTCACTATAATCTTCATATATATCCTAATTAATACGTTAAGAGTATATTATAAAAATAAAAAAGAAAAAAAGAAACAAAAAACCCAGAAAAAACTACAGAGAAAAAACAAAAAAAGAAGTGCGACTATGAATTAAGATGGATTGATTGAAACGTTGTTGATATAAGGAAGAGAGGAAGAGTGTGTGTAGATGTTGAATGTGATTGAGGATGTTGATATAATGATGTGTGTGTGAATATGGAAAATAAATCCTTGACCATCATTTATTATCGTCTATCCAGTAGTCGACTTGCATTTAATAATTTGCAGTTTGTTATGTGTGTTTATGTTTGTGTTTTATTATATATGGATCCAACCAATAATATATCAGATGAGAAAAAAAGCAAGTGTTTTTTGTAAGAAGCAGAGAATTCAAAGAGAGTAAAAAGATAATGATATGATGGATAAGAAAATAGACGATAATAATTACGATAGAAAATTCCTAAGCCAACCCGAAAAAAGCATGTATATTATATTACTATATTATGATAACGATGGTTATAATTATGAGAAAAAAGAAAAATAAAATGAAATAAAAGTGGGTAAAACCTTAACTTCCCTCCTCTTTTATCATTACTAAGCAACTACTATTAATATTATATTATTACGAGGGTTACTATAATTGTTTATATTTATGGAACAGAATTTGGGTCACTTTTTTTCCAACTTTTCACTTTCTTCTTTTGATGTACATCAAATAAAATCACATCACGTGTTTTGATGCTTGTTCGTGAATGTGTAGTGTTGTGATTCATGCAAATACAATCCAACAAATTTCTGTGTATTGATATACATTTTACGTCGGCTATTTTGATTTTCTACGCTTTTTTCTTTAATATTCTTTTGCAGATTGTTCTTTTTATGTATATTTATATTAAAGAATATAAACTTCAACTTGCTTTCTCTTCTCTATTTAATCTACGCGCTCGATGACGGTTTTCTCGATGGTAAAGGACGAACCAATGAAGTTCTCTGCTTACCTGCAGCATTGGAGTTATTACTGCTGCTGCCTTGAGTAGTAGTTGTGAGCGTCACAGAAGTGTCGTCACCTTTGCGAATTCTCTCAACGATGGTTGCCAAATTGCTATTGGGCTTTTTTAAAGTGCTGGCTCTTGACGCGACAGTTCTCTTGACACGTTCGCTATCACTATCACTGGACGCGGCATTATCAGTCAACTTTTTTTTGCTATTTGTCAATGATGAAGACGAAGATGCGATTGCTGCGGATGTAGCACGTTTTTGTGCTGGTGTCGGAACTCGATTCTTGCGATCAGATGTCACTCCACTTAACATATTTGTCAATACAACCATATCACGTTTACGCTGAGTCACTGCGGAACGATTGATTGGGCTAACTTCTTTTTTGGGGACTTTTTTCAATACGTCAACTGTACTTGTTGGCTTAATTGGAGGCACTCGAGGCTTGGCTTGAGGCTTGACAGCAAGTTTAGTTGATGCTGCCGTCTTTTTGAATGCGCTTTCTCTATCACTAGTAGACGTAGAGGCTTTTGTCCTACTAGATACCAATGCTGTTGATGACGTTGATAATCTTGAACTGATTGAAGATCTTTTCGAGGCATCTGACAATCTTCTTGAGGTGATGCTTGAATTTGTAATACTACGTGCTCTTAATGGACTTTCCAATCCACTAAGACTCACAGCTTTACGAAGACGGCCACCAATTTTTGCTTCATCACCGCTACTTTCACCTCCACTCAGACTATACATGGACGAGACTCTCGACCGGACATAATTAGAAGTTGCTCTGATAGAGGCTGCGGGTGCACTTCCTGGAGCTGGAGTTGGAATACGAGACTTTATCGTGATCAATTCTTTTTCTTTCTCCTCCATTTTCTCTTTGATTTGCGTTACTTCTTCCTTTAATTCACGATTCATTTTGACTAATCGTTGAATTTTGATATCTTTTTCCGACACAGAGGTCTTGTTATCGTCCATTTGCTTCTTTAGATTGCCAAAATCCTCTTCGAGCTGCGAAATTTTCTTTTCGTAATCTCGGCATGCCTCGATTTTAGTGTTTAGTACCTTTTGAAGAGCATTTAATCGTACTTCATTCTTATTGTTCTTTGAATCTTTGACGCCTCCGACAGCAATCTGATTCTTGGCTGCTGCAGCAGCTGCCTGTTGTTGAAGACTTTCAATGTGCTGATCGAGCTGTTGGATTTTTTGATCTTTTTCGGACAAGACATTTAACAGACCTTGGAAATTTGTACGAACATGAAGAGTTTCTTCATGCATATTGACAATTAAGCGTTCCTTTTCACGATTTTCTGACGATTGAGTGGTTAGTTCACGTCGAAGTTCTACAACATCTTGTCGAAGTGTATTTATTGTCTTGTCTTGTGCACGAAGCTTTTCACCACTATTCTCTACCAAACGTGACGATTCATGACACTCTCGTTCTTTTTCGATCAATTGTTGTCTTAATCTTTGTTCAGTTTCCTCTGCACGTGCTCTTAGTGGAATTAATTGCGAATTTTGCTCTCGTAATTTTTCCATTAGTTTTGCCTGCTCGGCTAACTTCGAGGCAAGCGCTTCAATCTCGTCATCTTTCTCTTTTAGGTCTGCGTCGATATTTTCGACCTGTTGGGTCAAATTATCGATTATATAGTCCTTTTGTCTCAATTGTCTAAGTAGATCATGTGGTGCATGTTTCTCTCTCAATTCTGCAATTACTTGTTGAGAGGTATCTAATCGTATATTTAAAGATTCAATTAAAGCTTCTTTTTCGTGAAGTTCAACCTCTCGTTGATGAAGTGTCTCCAACTGTGATGTAAGTCCTTTCCATTCAGATTCTAATGTCTGATATCGTGATACTTGATTCGTAAGTGCCTCCAATTTCTTTTCTTTTTCCTTCGAGTCGCTAACTTGTCGTGCGGTGACTGTGATCCGCTTATTTAGCTCTGCGATTGTCTTGCTCTTTGCACGGAGCTCGGCTTCCATTTGACGAATTGTCTCGGTGGTCTGAGCATCTGGACCTTGATTCTGCATCGATTCACTCTCACGTTGTTGTTGCTCCACCAGTTCAGTGATTGCTCGTCGTGAAGCATCCAATTGCTGTTCGAGACGCTTAATTTCTGCGGCTTTTAGTCGACTGTCTTTGTCACTCTCTCTGAATGCGATTTCCAACTCCTTTATCAATTTTTCTTTGCCCACTAATTGTTCTCTATATTTATATTCCATGTTCTCCATCTGGTTACTAAGTGTTAATATTTCATTTGCGATATTCCTGTTATACGGTGCAGCGTTTCCCGCATAGTCTTCGTAATCATCTTCGGGACCTTCCTCACTCCAGTAATCAACATCTTCATTATCGCTGAAATTGCCATCACCTATACCGTCACTGTTACTGGGGTTGCTTTCGCTTCTAACCTCATCAGTTATCTTATCGAGTTTTCTATTATTTTCTCGAACAAGTGACACTGTGGTAGCCAACACTTCAGCCACATCAATGTACGAACTGGCTGACGTAGTTTGTTGACGTGGTGATGTGGGTCTGCTAGAATGATTAAAGGAGACACTCCTTTTTAAATGTTTTTTAGAGGGTGGAATTTGCTGCTGTTGCTGATGATATTGTGATGGTAATTGTGATAGCTGCGGTTTTTCCTCGAGATATTTGGTAGCATTACCGGGACTTTGAAAAACGTTTAGATATGAAGTATCTTTCGATGGAGTTGTAGCAAGTTGTGCCAGCACTGCCGCCGCACCTTCAATTTGTTCACGTGTGAGACCGTTCGTTTGGTTGATGGTGTTTAGTGTCGCCGCTACGCCTCCTCCCTTTTGTGGCGACGAAGGTATGAACGACGAATTGTCGGATGTTTGTGTTAGGTATGGATGAATTTGATGGAGATTACCCCCGAGGTGGGGTGTTGTCGACATTTTGCTTTGGGTACTACCGGATGTTGATTGTTGTCGAGGCGAAAATTTATGCAATATGGATTTATCTGTATTTTATTTATTATTATTCGAATGATAGAAAGAAAGAAAAGATTAATATTCTAGTCATTCATTAATCTTTTTGTGTCGTTAAATTCTTTTCGTGGTTTTTTCCTTCCAATACCCAAAGAAAAATGTCGTAAAAAAAATTTTTTAAAGGAAAAAAGAGCAAAAAGAAAAAAATTATCCGCAAGCCACAGCCACACGGAAAATAGTCTACTTTAAGGGGAAAACAGAACGACAATAGATCGACATATATGGATGATGTGTGTATTCTTTACCATATATATGCTGTAAATACACACACGTCACCAAATAAGAGTTGGGTGTGTTAGTCCAACTTCTATATAACATTTCATTTATACAATTCACACAATTCCTGCCAAACTACTCCAACGTTGTCTTTTTTTTACTATTCTTTCTTCTTTCAAGTAAAAATAGTTCGTAGTGGAGTAGTTGGGGAAAAGGATAATGCACTCTGTTGACTCCATTTGTGTGTATAGCAGAATGACCATTGTGAGAAAAGTTTCACGACAGCAATAATAAAAATGGGATAGGTGTAATAAAGGGAAAAAAGAAAAGCTCTCTATCAAGAAATTTTTATTTCTCGGGTTTCAATATCGAATGATTCGTTCGTTAAAGTAGAGGAGTAAATCCCGACACAAAAAAAATTTTGAAGTCAAAAAAAAAAAACTTACCGCCGCTCTCACAGCAACCTTCATCTCCTCCTCCTGCTTCCCTATTTGTAAACTCTGCTGGCCTTTGCATGTCGTCTTTATCGTTAAGACGAAGAAGTTGTAAAGGACTTACCTATATTGTTTACACGCAGTTATGAAAGATAAATGTTAGGGAAAAAAGCATGTTAGTTAGAGCATATATATCATATACGATACGTGTGTATGGTGTGTATATGTGTATATGTTTTTTGAGCCGGGTACTGGTTTGGTTATACAGAAATAAAATAAAACTGTTATATACCCAAAAGTTTGCCATTAGATTATTATTGGTTCTGTGAGTATGTGTGAATGTATGTGGATTGAGTAGCAATTGTAGTGGTAGCGGTTTTGTTAGTTATTTGTTTTTGTTATTTGTTAGAATTTACATAAACTTCTTTAGTTACAAAAAACAAAAACGAACAAACGAAACCAGTGATTTTTTAAGAAGTAATAATGAAAGAAATAATGAAAGAAACAACAAGCAAAAAAACGCAGTTTTAAGCTTGAGTAAGGTAAAAGAAAGTAACGAAGGTTGGTTTGTCGTAAAAAAAAATTAAAAAATGATGTTAAAAAAAAGAGGGAAAAGATGAAAAAAAAAGATAGGCAAAATAAACGTGGAACGATGAGTTTTTATGAAAGAAAAAGTGGAGGAGGGACAAAGAAAAAAGACGAGCCTACCTGTATGCGCGCTGTATTTATAATAATAGTATAATATAAAATATTATAATAATAAAAATAAACTTGGGGCAAAAATATGGACGTTGTTACTACTATTTGCTATTTACTATTACAATGTAGTTAGTTGTTCTCGTTAACGGTTGATGGATGGAAAGAGAACAAACAGTGAGTGAAGAGAAGATTCTGTGCGTGTGTATATGATATAATATGAGAGAGTAAAGAATAAAAATATACACACAGCAAGTAAAAAAAGAAAAGAGAGAGAGAGAAGAGAGGAGGAGGAAAGAGAAAAAGAAAAGAAAATATGGGAAGCGGTGCCTCGAACGGTGTAGTAAGAAGTGATGGTATCCAAACACACAAGGTGAGTAGTTGCTTGTCAACGTGTTGTTTGTTTGTTAACAGGCAAAACCCCCTCGGTTGGTCCTTCTTTTTTTCCCTATAATGATGCCTGGTAGTTTATAAGTAGTGGTGGTGGTGTCGTAACAGTGTTGTAATAGTAAAATAGCAATAGAGTAATGTCGTTGTGGTAGTAGTTTGGTTGTTGTGTTGTATTAGGGGATGGGGTGTATATGTGTGTATTTGTGTCTAATTGTGTATGCTGTATGCACGTTATGTTGGTAATAATCGCGTAAAATGTATGTGACGTCAGAAATTACGGATATAAAGATATAGGGTTGGTTTGTTTTTTTTTTGTGTTGTCTTATCCTTTTTGTCGAAAAAGAGGGCGCAAACAAGCGAGATGAATGACGGATTGACGTTTGACTGGCCAGTTATTAAGATTATAATTCGTGTGATTTGTGAAACCGGAAGCGGGTTCATGCGGAATTACGGAGTTGGATATTATAGTAACAATATCATGGTTTTTGGTTAGGATTATGTTGTGGTATAATATGAGTAAATGATCAATCAAATAAATGACGGAAATAATAAAAGCGTGCAGAATGAAACTTTGTCGAAAGATTAATAATCCCAATATTAAGAAAGTTTGATAATTAATAATTGTGTAAAGAATACTAAGAGATAAGATTCAAATGGTACGCGAGAAATAGAAATAATAGTAATTAATAATAATAGTTAAGGCTATATCGATATAGTATCCCACTAAGCTCGATTCAACAATATGATTGGCAAAGAAAGGGAGAGTAGTCGGATAATGGCAACAAAAACAGTAATAATTCAATAGGTAATAATAACCAAAATAGTAAATAATATTCGAAAATTATAAATTATGCTTAAATAATGTGGTAGAAGTTAGATGAACAAACCACAAAGTAATTAATTTATGAACAAAGTGAAAGAAAAAATTTTTACTTGACGAATAGCGAATAGGAGAGGAAGTGTACGTGTGTTTAAAAAGGCAATAAATAGTATGGAATGGCAAAGGGGCTGCTTTTACGTATTATTATGAGTAATGGAAAAGGCGTGTGGTAATTTAAGTAATTAAATAATATATTTTGTGATAAAATAAATGAAATGAATCAAATAAATGAAAAGTTTTGAAAGGAAAAATATATTAGAGTATACATATACATATACATATATGTATATGTATATGTATATGCACAAGAATGGATTATTAAGAATATAAATATAAATAAATATAAATATCACTTACTTTTTTTTTGAACAAACACACTTCTGCATATACACACATACACATACACATACGTCACACATGTTGACAGAATATTACATATAGAAATATAGTTTACCTGTATATATCCCGTAGTTGTCTCTGTCCGATTTATTATATAACAGAGTGTGAAATTTTGCTTCTGTCTGTCGTGTCTGTGTTTTCGCGTGCGAGATTATATTTGTGTTATGCAAGTGTACGTTATTTTATATATGAATGTATGCTAAAAAATGTCTTTACGATTAAAGGTTAAATTATGGCTATTCCATGTATAATAATCGGTGTTGATTATTAAACGTTATGTTTCATTCAAAAATATGTAAAGAATAATGTTTTAAAGTCTTTGTCTGAATTCAAGAAGAATTCAAAAAGATTTAAAGTTAATTGTATGTATGTACGTAAATGTGGGGATAAAGTAAAAGTAAAAGAGTAATCTATTCGTTATGAGGATGGTGATGATGACGATGATGATGATGATGATGATTATGATTATGCTGCTGATTATTGTAAATTATAATTTTTAATAATGGTATAATATATTTTAGAATAATATATAATGTGTGTATATATATATATATATATAATGCTAGAAAAAGTTATCCTCGTCGAGAGGATTTGTCAATGTTCTCGTTAAGACAAAAATTAATTTTTCAAGAAGACACGATTTCAGTCGTAGATTTCTACAGGCTTTAATGAAGAAGGTAAATATTTGGAGAAAAAAAGAAAAGAGAGAGTAAGGAACTCAAAGAGAGAAAGAGAAAATAGAAAAGGGGCGAAAAGGATAGAATTTTATAATTTTTTTGTGATTTTTTTTATTTTTATTTATTTACGTTATTATATTTGTATTATATGTTGTGTTGTATTGTATTGTTTGTGAATGGATAGAATGTATGAATGAGTGATTCGAATATAAGCCATTATTCCACTTGTTAACTGCGTATTATTTCGAGTGAATGAATGATTAAATCTGTAAATTTGTTGTTATGGTATTATTTGCTTTACGCAGGAATAACATAACGAAAAGTTAACGATTATAGATATTATCATAGTCGCTATAATATCGATATACTTATTTCAGTTTGTTGATTATCGTTGTTAGGTATTTTATTCGTCAACGATTGGAGGAAATTCTAATAATTAGATCATTTGAATAATTTATAATATATGTTATGTAGTGGGTAAGCCAAAAGTGCGAATACATATGGTTAGTCTTGTGCACAGTCACCCTTAATTTCATTTTCTTGGTTCATTTGCATTTTTATTTGCGTGTGTATGTGTACATTTACAGATGTGTAAGCGGAAAAAAGGTAATATATATGCATGCATATGTATGGCAGCAGCCATTCTCATTCTATTTTATCCATATAAATATATCTTTAATAGCAAACGATATCAATACCACCAATTCATTCACTTACCACCCAAAAAAATATTTAAGTTCCCCAACGACACCAACTCAAAAAAAATGAATTTTTTTATAAAAAAAAAACTTGACAAAATTTCCACCGAAATGGGAAAATAATCGATTTCCTTTTTCGTGATTAATGTTTATCATGTGGTTGGCTAGTACCCTCTATCGGCAAAAATTATATCGTATAACGTGTGTATGACGAAGTGTTTTAACAACATACATGTAGCCTCTAAAGATCTAGCGATAGTCTTTTTGGTTTATAATAAATATACTGGATGGGGAAGTGGTAAATAAATAAACGAGTTATAAAAGTTATGAGAAGAAAGGAATGGAAATGAGAATTCCTCTAATTAATAATTAATAATCAATGACATATGTAGGGTAGAATCTGCTCCAACTTAATTACATATATCAAATAAAAATATGCAACATATAATATTTACCGTTTGTTGTGCTAGTTATTATTTCTCTCGTGGTACATGTGTCAACAACAAACAAATGTTTAGACATTAAATCCAAAAAGCGAACGCATATTTAACGTTAAAAATAAAAAATAAACAATCATAAAAAAAAAACGTGAATATACATACACTCATCATCAAAATATCCTTGTATTATTGATATCATAGATTATACTTGTTAATCATATCGATATATTGAAAATTGTATCGGTATGGCTTTGATTAATATTAATTAATTGTTTTCTCATGTTTGTTCTTTCTTCATCTAACTAATGATCATTTAGTAAGTCAGCATGTTGGTTCATTATCCCCTGCATTTTTTTATATGAACATGCGCATGTTGAAGGAATGGTTGAAATCGTATTTTAATCTTAACGTTAAGCAATAAATATTTTTGTTTGAGGCTCTACCTTCCTGCCTACAACCTTTTCTGTGATCACTGCATCATTATCGTTATAGACTATTTTTAATAAGTAGTTAGATTGCTTATCAAGGGGCTGCTTTTGTTATTATTATTATTCCTGTTCTCTAATTAATACTTTATCATATTCGTTTACGCCTGATCGGATTAAAGTCAATAAAATGATACAATTAATTAAAGTATCTTCGTCCCGTCCCAATTTCGGTTTGTTAGGCAGGCTTTTCGTTTTGAATAACACTAAATAATATAAGATATACCGACTAGATGTGTTATTTAATTTCGATGAATTATTTCAAGCCGACAACGATATTTAAACGTAGGGTGTGCTGAAAATCTTTTGCTCCTACAAGATTATTGGCTAATTTTATCAAAAGTTTACGCCACAATATGATCTAGATTTTTTCTTTAGAATTATGTCAACTGAGGAGAAATAAAGGAGACGAAGGAAAACACCAAGCAAATTAAAGATGTGATGGTGCACTAGGCTCAGGGAGTTGAACCATCTTAACGGAAGAGTCGAATAAATATAAAGATAAACCGGGAGGAGATAGGAGACAAATTAAATATAATGTGGTTGAAGAGGAGCAACGGAGAAAATAAGCGAAAGGGGAAGGAAGAATACTTGCACAGCATGATATGTTTACTGGGTTATACTCACTGGCATTGGGAGATAGAGTAGTACGCGTAACAAGTTGTGAAGATTTACATTTACTCAGTCACGCATATTTATTGGGAGGATAGTTTGTTGGAAGTTATCAATTATGTTTGAGGGAATTTCGGTATACTGGTTTTAACGTTGATTAACTTGTGTTTTTTCTCTTATATCTACGTAAAAATAAGTATCTAATGCATTTCTTTATCCAATAGTGGGTTAATTTCCTTCATTCTGAGCCATTTACTGCTTTCAATTTTGCTTAGCATGTCCTGAAGTAGAAAGGATGTCACGTGAGATTTGGTAAGGAAGCACATATTCTTTTTGCCTCTTAAACGTTACGATTTATGGGTTAGAGGGAGATGTACCAAGGAGATGAGAAAGATCATAACTACCGTAGAGCACTGCCTACAGTACTACCGATGTTATTTAAAAATACTTAATTTTTGACATTGAATAGTACTGATCCTATTCACAGTTTCAGCGATTTCATTGGGGGTACTTACTCGGGCAGGTATCATAGGAAGGGGATACTGTAGGCAGTGCTCTACGGTATAAAGGTGTAAAAAGATTATTCGAACAACTATCTCGGAGACCAAATGGCCGGTAAAACATCACTTCTTGAGAAGCAACTGTTAAACCAAAAAGAATGTAAACAATATGACTGCTGTGGTGCAACATAACCATCCAACTTGGATATCTTTGGATCGGTTTCGATGTCTTACTGGAAGGGGACGTAATTTTGTATCTGAGTTGCACAGTTTTAATGAGGTTCAAAATATATAAGCCAGGCTCTGCTTTGTGGCCTTGCATCGCGTGAATATCGCGATGCAAACGATGGAGGTTCACACAACGGTGACATGATTGGACGTGCCACCGCTTCAATTGAACGAGCATGATATGTGGATGATGTACGATTCACGCCTCCAGAATTTACAGAATATGTTGAACGGTTCTACCCTTCACTTATGTTTGCACAGGCTGTCACCTGGTCTTGTGGCGTTTATGAATATTGAACATTAGCTTTTGAAAAGTATTCAGATATCTTAAATCTCGCGACTTTTATGCAAGCCAATGGTAAGAAGTGGTTGTATTAAGATTCTTTTATACCATACTTTGCAGAATCGGGAAGTTCATAACAACGAATGATGAGCAAAAGCGCGCAGATTGTGGTTTTTTCAGCCCAACCGGAATCACTATCCGTTATGAGGTGATTCGAACAGTGATTGCCCGAGTTTTCTATCCATTATTTGTTTTACAATCAAATTTCTAGTCACTTCTGTTTAAAGCCACATCTCTCTATGGTCACATCTTTATCTATAAATATTATAATTATATACGTATATAGTCCGCACGGAAAGTAATGGTGGAGGTTTTTTTTGCATATAAGCAGGATTAAAGTATCAGGATTCAATATGTCCTCCCTCTGTATCAATGCAGATTTGAATGCAAATTGGCATATAGGTGATGCATCTAATAACCATATCTTCAGAAATATACTTCCATACCTCTTCCATTAGCACAACAAACCGTGTTCTGCATTTTGCATATTGCACTACATGACTACCAGGCAACCCTACGGACAGTGCTTCGGAACAGTGCTGAATTACGTGGCCTTCGACAACTTGCTAAATCATGACTTTTGGACAATGCGCTGATACGCTAGTGATCTTACCCAGAATCTTTACGAAATTCACACTCACGTGATCACGGAAAATTAACGTTAAAAGCTATTTTATCGTTTGGGTTAGGGTAAGAATTAGATTGGATGACAAGATTATGTGTAAAATTGCCTTTCTGATATTTTTTGTTAGTGCTTCAAGCCAGATTTTAACATCTGTTTTCTGTAATTTTCACATTTCTCTCTTTTTTCATTTTCTTGTGTCAGATTTGTTTTGTCGGGTTGATCAAAAATTTGTAAATCCTTATTGGTTTGCGCCACCCAACAAGACGTTATTATTGGTTCACGCCACACAGCGCTCACGCTCACGTGAATTTTGTTGGCGATTCTGGGAAAGTTCGCTAAAGTGTTGCAAGTCCAATGATCTGTCCGAGAAACAAATCGAAGCACGAACATAAAAAATGAAAAATATGGAAAATGTATGCTTTAATCTAGGAACACTAATTAAAAACGTTGGTGAGACAATTTTACATATAACTTGGTCCTTTACTCTAACCTACTTAATGGTAAAATCTATCTTTAACTGTAATAACACATACTATTTATTTACAATATTTTAATATATCCTAAATTTTCTCCAAAATATCAACACTGTTTCGAAGCATGCATATAGTTGTTCAAATTAATTTGGAAGTTTGTATTTACAAAAACTAGATTTAAGCAAATATATTTAAATTAGTTTGAAAAAGATTTGGAATTTGGAATAAGAAATTTTTTGGATTTGAATGGTGTTACAATTGGAAATTTCTATAATTTTCAATTTAATAATTTTTATTTTTTATTTTTTTCATATATTATAATTATTATATTTTAATATTAGCAAATTTAAATATAAATACAATTGATTTTTTAGTTGCATTTCATATATTATAATTATTATATTTTAATATTAGCAAATTTAAATATAAATACAATTGATTTTTTAGTTGCAAAAAAGCCAGTTGTAACAATTAATCCAACTAATAACTTAATAAAATATTTATTATTTGATTACTTGAATTAAAATTAAATATTAAATTATATATAAATTATATTATTTTATATTTTAGTAAAATATATTAATTAAGCAAGAATATATTATAATAATAAATATTTTTATAAATCTAAATATTAAATAAAGTTAATTTAAAAAATAGTTGTGTGTTAACAATTATTTTATATTAAATATATTTCTAATTAAATCTCAAAAAATAATGAATTTTATTATAAAGAATTAAAGTTAAAAATTATAATAATATATAAATTATAGAATCTTCTTTTCGCATCTCTTCCTGTTAATCATTTTTTTATAATTTATGAAACCTATTCAAGAGCAAAAATTTCACTCACACAACAGAAAAGAAGTTCAACTTATTACTATAATTCATACTAAAAATATTCCTTTAATTTCCTGTACTAACAAACTTTTTTCTTTTATAAATCTTTTTTAAAATATTTTTATAAAAAAATATCTAAAATACAAAAAATCTATAAAAAATTCTCCTTTATTTGCACTTTCTCATTTTCTTTTACTTTTTATATATTTTTCTTTTCATTCTTACATATTTTAAACAAAAAATCTCTTAACAGAACAAAATAAAATATTTAATAACAATAAAAAATTGTTAATTTAACTTCTCCATCCTCTATTGTACAATTTTTTTGCCAACAAAAAAGCTCGACATTCAAACTCCTACAAATAATACTAGTATTCTATTTGAAATCTCATTAACTTTTTATAAAGCAAACATCTGAAAATAACTATACAAAAAATCACATCCAGTTATCTGAGTGCTGAGCACAATTAAAAAAAACTAAAATTAGATAACTCTGATTTATTTACTTTTCTTGATATGAAAATTGACCTCAACAATTACACATGCAAAATATATGAAAACAATATCAACACTTTTGATTTAGCAGACAACAATCAACATTTTACCAACATGATAAACAGTAATCAACTTTTTACTAAAATGAAAATCTTACATAATATACATATTCCTGAAAATATTATATTATATAATTCTAATGCAGAACAAGCATAATTTATCTATTTCTCCAATATTTTAATCATCTAGAAATTAACACTTCAATTATCAATAACAAGAGCAAAAAATTAGAATTTTTAAATGAATTAAATTGGACTCTTGTAAAAATACTAAACATTACAAAGGCTAGCTATTTGATTTCTTGTTTCTTCAAGATTTCACAAAAGATAAAATTATTTTCACTAAAAAAATCTTCATTCCCATACCTGAATTCATTCATATCAAAGCTGATTTTATCAACAATATTCACTACATCTACATAGAATTTTTCTCTGAAGAAGCTCTGAAAAAAGCTATAAAAATTTTTATTTATGATCAAAAGCTCATACTCAAAAAATCTCTTTCAACTATACAAGCAAATTCACTTACAAATATTGCTCTCAGAGATATACCTATTGTAATCAATAAAAAACAAATTTATACTGCTCTTGCACAGTTTGATATCATCATTAACATCAAATAACAGATCATCAGCAAATGGATCTATACCAAAGTTCAGTTTGAAAATACTGAACAAGTTAATAATATAACCAATGCTTGATCAGTTTTACTTGGCTTTAACTGAATCAGAATTCTATTCATTATTAATTAACACAACATTCTTGTCAAATAAGATATTTATAATGCAAAACTCATCAATCTTTTTTGAAGAGTTACAATATTTGAACTGAATGACCTTCTTCTCCAAATTAAAAGCAAAACATGCTTTATTTCAAAATCATTCATTAAATATAACAGATAATATTTTGTTATAATTAGCTTTAAGAATAAAATTAATCTTGCAAATGCTATAACACAAAACTTTATTCTAAGAAAAACTAAATTCTGATGAGAATCATCTTCAACTTGTTCATGTTATATTTGCTTCTTCAAAGAATATATAACAAATAAATACACATTATCACTGATTCAATATTATTAATAATTTAATATAAGAACATGTGAATAGAAGATGCAATTATAATAAAAATTAGTCATAATGATATTTGAATTACATATTTAGTTTGATAATATTCTACTTCTTTCTATCTCTTTCTATTTTCTTCTTTTTCTTTCTCGTATTACTTATTTTTTTTATATTTATCTTATTGTTATTTTTATTTGAATATATTAATCACACCATTTTCTTGGCAAATTTCATCATTTTTTATTAGTTTAGCTTCTATTTTCTATTTTTGCTATTGATACTTAGATATAGAACAAGATTATTAATTATAATATAATTAAATTTATGTAATTTAGAAGAGAACCAGTAATTTCATAATATTAGTATAGATCTACTACATCACAACTGCATATTACTATGCCATACTATGCTACTGTAATATGAAAACATATATAAATACAAATACTGATAATTAATAAAAATCAAGTTCTCTAATTCTAGTTTTAAGTTCTTAAGTTTTGGTTCTGAATTTCTTTTGGTTTAATGTTGAGTTTGATATGTTAAATTGATTTATTTTTGAAATTTTAAGTAGTTTTTGGTTAAGTTTACCTTTTAGTTTAGTCTTGTTAGTAGTTTAGTCTTATTTTCATCACATTTTATCTTGTTAAGAAATATTATTTTATCATCATAAACACCAGTTAATTATAATATTAAAGTAAATTGCTATGAACACAGTTACTATTATCATTTTGAAATACTTTTATACACAAAAGCTCAAAATAGTAACAATATGATATAGCGAATAATATTAATATGTCTGAGAACTCTGCTGTCTTTGCTATCTTTACAATCTATGTTTAGTTACATAATCAGAATTAAGAAATTAAGAAATTAAGAATAATTCTGAACTGTAATAACATTATGCTCACCTAACTGATCTTTTATATTAATATGTTAACAAATAGCTAAATAATATATAACATATCATAACAGTGATAATATTAACTTAATTTTTATAAATAAGTTTTTTATTTTTAATTTTATTTAATTTTGAATTTAATATAAAATTTATTTATATTTTTTATTAATATATAAGTTTTATATAAATTTAATTTTTAGAATTTTATAACAAATTGCTTGTAAAACTAATTTTAATATTAATTATATAATTTGTTATATAAATTAAAAGAATAAAAATTAAATATATGATATTGATTAATTTAAAAATTTTTTGTATAAAATTTTAGTCAAAATACTCAAAAAATTTTTAAATAAAATTATTATTTGAATTTTTGTAAACAA